TACCGTAAACTACTGTATCTAACATATGAGACCCTCATCATGGGGATTCCCCATTGGGGAACCACTGGTTCAACCAGTAGTATACTACAGTACTGCACCCCGTTTTCGCGCCCTTGGACCTTTGATAAACTTCCGGATGTGATGCTCCTGAATCCAAAAGAACTTTTGTTTGTCTGCTAAAATCGGATTGATTTGCAAATCCTATATGGTCCACCCCCGCGAAAACGGGGTGCAGTACTGTACAGTACTTGCGTCGACGGATCTCGACGGTCAAGATTCATGGTAGCGGGAGGGAATAGTCGAGTCGACCAGGGAACCAAATATCATGTGATATTTTTAAAGGTAATAGTACTATTTTTGATATTAAATATTAAAAGTAGCTCAGTTTTTAAGGCTACCATAATATTCAAATATTAACTCAGAGATTTGGAAAAATATTAGATACTAACGGATGCGCCCGAATAAAAGCCCCCTTCCGAATAGTGTCCTGTGGGGTGCTGCCTGCACTATTAAATACAAGCCTCTTCCGAATAGAGTCCTTTTACAAACTACCAAACCTGCTATTACAAACTTACTGACCATTCATTATACAGAGAAGAGCAATTTTTCGGCAACAGGCCGAAAGTTGCCCCTATTTTTGGTGTAGAAAGGAAAATTTTCACCTTCTTTTAAAAACAAAGTCAGGGCCACTTTTCGTAGCACACCAACCCCGAGCTTGGGTTGATAGCGAGCTGCTCAAGAAGTGGATTGATGTGACTATTCCACTTGTGATGCACGGTGAGCGTAAATGCTTGGTTTGGGACAGCATGAGAGCTCACATATCGAAGGCTGTGAAAGCTAAGTGCTCTTCGAAAGTGTTCGATATGTGTTGTGCCTGGGTGGCCTCACGCCTTCCTCGCAAGCTGGAGATATTGGAATCTATAAGAGCATCTCCAGCGGTAGGCTCTAACGAAGGTTTTATCCCAAAAGCTGCGCAAATAAATCTCTCGACAAGTTTTTTTGCCCCATTCGTTGGTGGCATTATTAGTTTAAACTTCAAGAAGACTTATATTTCTGGTCCAAGGACTTTATATAAAACCTCAGTCTAACGAAAGGAAACCTTCGATCTCAGCACCGACACGGAAACTTGCAGTACGATGGGGAAGGGCTTAGCGTGGAGTGAGAGCGAGACCATACAGCTTTGCCTGTCGTGGCTGGAGGTATCGGAGGACGCAGTGCGTGGTGCAGGACAGAAGAAGAGCACGTTCAGCAGTCGCTTGAACAGCCACTGGCTGGAAAACAAGAGACCAGAAGACAAGGATCCACGAACGGAGGTCGCGATAATGGGGCGATGGAAGAAACTGCAGCCAGAAGTAACGAAGCTCTGCGGTATATATGCGAAGGTCACCAGCAGAGAGCGATCAGGATGGAATGACGCTACGCCGCGTTGAAGGTTTACCAAGAGCGACACAAAGAGCCGTTCGAGTTTCTTGCGGCGTGGAAGGAGCTCAAGGACAAGCCCAAGTGGACCAACAAGATCACTTCGGCCTCATCTATTGGAGTCAAGCGAGGAACAAGTGACGTTGCGTCTTTGGAGAGACCAGAAGGCCGCAAAGCAGCAAAGGCGGCTAACGCCAAAACTAATGAGAGTCATGGAAGTGCTGGAGCTCAAACGATTGGGGGTGAAGCTCACCTCAGGTTCGTTGTTGCCACAGGAAAGAAGGTCGCTGTGATGGAGCAAAGTCTCCATCTATCTATCTTCTTGTAGAATCCCGCTAGCTACGAATCACAGGAATATTTTACTATGCAGCAAAAAACCATCCTCGCCAACATGAGGAAGACACTTGCTGATTCACAAGAGCGCTAGCAGTTACAACAAAGCGAAGAGCTGGAAACACCTGAGCGTTCGTTCATGGCACCGCACGTGGCAGGACTACATAATGGCGAGGGTGAAGAAAGTGAAGTTGCTGACAATCTAATCAGTACTTTAATTTAGCTGGGCTTCTGCACGTAGTCTAGCTTAAAAACCTACTACACAGGATCGAGAGAAAAGTTTTGCTAGCCGAGAGCACCGTAGCACTGCCATACGTGTTCGATCAAATCCGTTTTTAATTCATAGTGAAGTTCTTCGTCTTCAAGCACTTGCATCGCGTTTGCTATCATTGCGACTGAGCACTCATCCGGTACACCAACTTCTGCCGGGCTGACCCATTCATCTTCAAACAGGTACTGATGATTTAGCGAGGTAATTCGCTGCTCGTCTTCCACAATCATGTTATGGAGGATGATACATGCTAGCATCACATCATTCATTGCATCGACACTCCATAGCTTACAGGGCAGGGCAAGAATTCGAAAGCGCTGTTGTAATACTCCAAATGTGCGTTCAACGTCTTTGCGAGCGGCTTCCTGCTGGGCAGCGTAAGACTTACGCTTGTTGCCTTGGGGCGCACTGATACTGGATTGGAAAATTGCCCAGACAGGATAGATTCCACCTGTAAGATAGTATCCCTGATTGTACGTCGCACCATTCACCGTGAAGGAAATCCTGGGAGCAACACCGTTTACCAGGTCATTCAACAAAGGTGAACGCTCGAGTACACTCAAATCATTGTTGGCGCCAGGCATGCCATAGAATGCATGCCAAATCCATAACGACTTAGAAGCCACGGCTTCCAAGATCACCGTCGAACACTTCTCTTTTCCCTGAAAAGCTCCTTGCCATGCCGTTGGACAATTCTTCCATGTCCAGTGCATACAGTCCAAGCTACCAATCATACCCGGAAATCCGCGTTCAGCATTCTCGGCAAGAAGTATTTCCAAGTCATTTTTGGTCGGCTTTCGAAGATACTCTGGACCAAATAATCGGATAATATTTCTGCAGAACAGCTTTAAGGTCTCCAACACTGTGGACTCAGCCATACGAATCAACTCATCTAATTGATCTGCTGATGCTCCATATGCCAACATCCGTAAAGCACACGTCACCTTCTGTTCTGGTAGGAAACCAGCACGTCCAGTTGCGTCACTACGCTGGACGAAGTAGCTGCACTCTTCATCCTCAACCAGGGCAATGGTAATGAGCTCAAAGAGGTTACGACGCATACCAAATCGCCTGCGGAAGTCATCTGCATCAGAACGAGTAGCCATGAACATTAATGAACAGTTTTAAAGGAGAACATGTCGTTTACTCAAATACATACCATCATCGTAGACTGGGTTGTCGCCAAGTTAGTCACTCATTAGGCGTTCACCCCACATTTCTCGATCCCGCTCTTTATTTGCTCTCCTGCCTTTGGTGGACCCGCCGTGTTTGCCCCGCACTGCGCTCGTGTTGTCCACCCCGCCCTCAGGCAACATGTAGGTGAAATAGTACTCTTCTTCCGAGTCGTCGTCCATACTTGACGTCACCAGCAGCGCTTCACTCCTTCGTGTATTTCTGATAGTGCGGTATCTAGAGAGATCTTTTGTATCGTCGTTTGATTGGACAAAAAAATGTTAAGCCGCGGTGAGTTCCAAACCGCTGTGACAAGATGCAATCAGGAGTTCTATCCTAAAAATTGAGGTCTCATCCGTCTCAATAGGACTTGCAAATAAGTCTAACCGCTGGAGATGCTCTAAGAGTTTCAAAAACCTACTGTACATATAAATTTATGCTTAGAAAGAGTCCGACCAACTAAGTCCTCACCCGTATAAAGTCCTCTCTGTCACTTTCGAGTGGCACTATTAAATATAGTCCGGACTTTAATAGGGCGCATCCATTAGATGATATTTTATGATATTTTCCCGCTTAAGTACGTTTCGTACCGGGAACTGTTTCGGCAGCAGTAGTGATGGCAGGCTTTAAAACTCCGCTGACCAGTGGGATGAACGCGCCGATGCCATCGTCGCCACCTTTACCGACGACGACATTATCGGCCAAATGACCCAAATCTACATCAACCAGCTCCTCACAGAGGACAACAAGGTTGACGACGACAAGGTGCGCGCGTACACCAAGATGCGCGTCGGCTCGTACCTCACCAGTCCGTTCAACAACGGGCCCGTGAACGGCACGTACATGTGGACCGCCGACGAGTGGCGTGAAGTCATCACGAGGATCCAGGAGATCACGATGGAGGAGAATGGTGATCACCCGATGGTGTACGGCGTGGACTCTGTGCACGGCGCCATCTTCGTGAAGGACGCCGTGCTGTTCGGCCAGCAAATCAACGGCGGCGCGTCGTTCAACCCCGACCTCGTGTACGAGCAGGGTCGCATCACCGGCCGCGACACGGAGGCGTCGGGCGTACCATGGGTATTTGGCCCCATTCTCGGCATCTCGCGCAACCCACTCTGGGCACGTACATCGAGACGTTCAGCGAGGATCCACACATCAACTCTGTCATAGGTGACGCTATCATCCGCGGCCTGCAGAGCAACAACTACACCGCCGCGTGCATGAAACACTGGATCGTTTACCCGAAGACCCCCTCCGGTCATGACAAGGACGCCGTGACCGTGTCGGACTACGACATGATGAATTACTTCTTCCCGCCCTTCAAGGCCGCGGTGGACGCCGGCGTGATCAGCGCGATGGAAAACTACATATCCATCAACGGCGTGCCTACCGTGTCGAATACCAAGCTCATGAACGCGCTGCTGCGCGATGATCTGGGCTTCGACGGCATGATGGTGACGGACTAGGCCGAGATCAAGCAGCTCACGGACTTCCACCGCACCGCGCGCAACGAGACCGAAGCCACCCGCATCTCGCTCACACGCGCGTCCGTGGACATGAGTATGGTAGCGCAGGACACGAGCTTCTACAACGGCACTAAGGCGCTGTTGGAGCAGAGTCCACAGTTCCGCGAGCGGCTCAAAGAGTCTGCCCGTCGCGTGGTCAAGATGAAGCTGCAGTTGGGTCTGTACGAGACACCCGTGCGCGGCGAAGAGAACCTCGCACTCATCGGCAACGACGACGATATCTCGGCGGCTCTGGAGCTGGCGCGCGAATCTATTGTGTTGCTGCAGAACAACGACAGCACACTGCCGCTCAAGGAGGACGCGTCGGTGTTCCTCACGCGTTTCACCGCCGACAACATCGGCCGTATGTGCGGCGGTTGGACGATCGCATGGCAAGGCTACAGCGACCAGGACCACTTGCTCACAAAGGGAATCGTGGTCAAGTCGGCCATGGAGACGCTCGTCGGCAACGACAGCTTCAGCTTCTTCAACGGCCTTCACCCGAACGGTTCGTACACTGAGGCGGACCTGGCCACGGCAAAGGAATTAGCTAGCAATGCTGAGTACACCATCGCCGTGATCGGCAAGGACACGTACGCCGAGAAACCTGGTGACATCGACGACCTGGCGTTGCCCGCTGGTCAGATTGAGTACGTGAAGGAGCTGGCATCCACAGGTACGAAAGTGATCTTGGTGTTGTTCGAGGGTCGTCCACGTCTGCTTGGTGACCTACCCGAGACCGCACACGCGGTGGTGAACGGTTTGTTGGCATGTGAGCTGGTCGGCCAAGCCATGGCCGAGATCATCTACGGCAAAGTAAACCCCAGTGGTCGCATGCCGATCACGTACCCGAAGGACCAGGCCAACATCCATATGACGTACAACCACCCTGTGACGAGCATGTGCCAGACGCAGGAGTCCGACGGTGCTTATTACTGCGAGAATCAGTGGGATTTCGGAACGGGCCTCAGCTACACTGAGTTCACCTACTCTGAAGTGCGTCTGAGCCGCAACGTCGTCACGTCTTCGGCGGAAGACGTCGTAGTGTCTGTGGATGTTACGAACGCTGGTAGTGTAGCCGGTAAGGAGACCGTCATGCTCTTCCTCATCCAGCCATACAACTCGCTGAATGTGCCGGAGATGAAGCAGCTCAAGAAGTTCTCCAAGATCAGTCTCGAGCCTGGCCAGACACAGAACGTCAACTTCACACTCACATCTGACGACTGGAGTGTTTACTACCCACAGGTGGGTCACGGGCTCAAGAAGGTGGCCGAGGACTGCGAATACGTGGTGGCCATCAAACCGGAGACGGACTGCGACGTGTACAACGAGACGGCCGTGGCCAACCCGCTCTGTGCAACCTTCTCACTCAACACGGGCGAGTATTCGTTCGGCACGTTCGAGGAGCCGTGGTAAGCAGGAGGCGTACTTGATAAGTGTTTGTGTCCACGCTGGTCGCTCTCAACCATTTTTACAATAACGGATTGTTTCAATCTTCGATACTCTTATAAAAAAATGTTTTAAGAAAATCTTTAGCAAAACCATCTCGTCTTCATCCGCATTGTACGAGTTCCGGCCAAGTGAGTACCGACGCATTAACTCGTCGAAGTAGCTTCAACTTTCCCGTGTACTCGTTGTGATCTCCCACTACGACTACAGGCAGAAGAACGACCTGCCGCGGACGCAAGAGCGATTGATAATAAGCCAATTCAGTCGATGGATCTCGCCCAAGTACAGTTCGCAGATACGCGATAGGGTCACGGCGTTCATGAATGCAACGTTCGCTTCGACATCATCGGATCGGCCATGTAAACACTTCATTTGATGCTGGATATACCGGAAAGTATTCATATTCATGCGTGCAGAAGGGGCACTGTACTTGTATTTTCTGACTTGTAGTCGGCTTCGACTGAAAACTTACGGTAAAAGGACGTCTCCATAGTTCGGTTTCCGCTGCGGTACTTGCAGCTGTTGTTTGCAAAAAATATGTGTTTATGTTTTAAAACAAATATTTTTCAAGAAAACGAGAATGGCAAATAAATAAAAAACTGAATACACGAACGTGTAAATGAGACCACCCAAAACTATTTAATAATTACGAACCTAAGTACGAATCGCGATTTTAGCACTCTAAACGAAAGCGGGGTGTCTTCTCTATC